AAAGAAGGGTTCAAGCTAGGGGTGTTCAAATAATCCGTCAATCCGTTAAACCGAACCGATCCGATTCAATCTATGCGGTTTGATTTGGTTTTCTAGTGTCGTGGTTCGGTGATGGATTGAAAAATTAGTAATTCATAGTGACCAGATTGGTTAACGGATTATGTGTTGAAAAAACCATACTGATACATAAACCGATCCGTGGCCAATCCGTAGAACTAATATACAAATATTATATAACATATATAGTATATGCAGAATACATTATTGATATTTTTTGTTTTTTTTAATCATTAAGTTTTCAAAAGTTTTATTATTTTACGAACCTAAGATGCTTTACTACTTTGTGGCTTAGTATTTTACATTTTTTAGTTTTAGAAAGTCATGCATGACTCAGACGAACATCAGTATTTCGAAACAGAGTTAACAATAACAGATTCTCTTTTTCTTTTTAAATTCATGCATGACTCAGACAAAAATAGTATTTTGCCACTAATTTTAGTTTTCTTAGTTATATTCTGTCAAGCTCAATCCGGAGGAACCGAACTGAAGAAATCCGTAATTTCACGGATCGGTTTGGTTCGGATTGAGAGTTCCCACGAATTGGTTTGGTTTCAGATTTAGCCAATCTGTGAGTACCGGATTAGTTTAAATTTTACCCAAAACTGAGCCGATTTGATCCGTGAAAAGCCCTAGTGCAAGCCGTGGGTAAAAAGATGTGTGTTCGCTTTATGATTAAAATAAATAAATCTTTATATCTCCAATTATGCTAACTGGGCATTCTATCTCAAACAAAGCTTCCTCTTTCTGTTTCTCAATGAGTTCTCTCTCTCTCTCTCTCTCTCTCTCTCACAAACAGAATTCTGTCTTTAAAGTGCATGAACTTTCAAAACACCGAATATATTCATTCGCAAACAGAATTCTGTCTTTAAAGTGCATGAACTTTCAAAACACCGAATATATTCATATAGTATTCTTGTTCATAGGAAGTACTACTCTTCGGAGAACTGTTTGTGGGGTAACTTTCTCTCTCTTTTCGTGGAACCTGAAAAAAGATAAATATTTTTTTTTTGGATGGAACAGAACAAACACAACAAGACACCATCATCAAAGTGGGAGCTACAGAGGGGAATAATATTGATCTTGATTTTAAAAGCTTTTTTTTTTTTTTTTTAAACTGAACAACAATTTGGAATTAAAAAAATGGGATAAATAGGTTTGCAAATCAGTTCTGATATATTAGTATAATATATAGAAGATACTTTCGTGATGTAATGTTTTTGTTTAAACTCAAAAGTAATATAAAACACATTATCAACTATTAGTCATTTTAAAATTTTCTAGATTATATCCAAAAGAAAAATAATTACCTACTCACTAGTGAATAAAATATTCTTCTCAGAACTGATGTGACATAATGATATACTGATAAGTGTATATTTTGAATTTAAAATATGTGAAAAAAAGTTCTATTTTTTTGTTATTATAGTTTAAAATTAAAATAGACACGTGTTATTCTATCATTGTGTCAAGTCAATGATGATATAAGTTGACAAACATTGTTCTATTAAGACGACTTTCAAAATGTGGTAATACAGTTTTTTTAAAGGTAGGTGTGATGATCTTGATTTTAAACCTTATTAAACCATTTCATTTAATTGAGGGAAGACAAGATTGTTCTCCACTTCTTTTCCCATAGCTTTATGGCTTGCACCTGTTTCTTCTGCTCCCTTTGACCCTTCAACTTTAAATACCTCTTCCAGGGAGTCGCACTCTTTCACACGGAGCTCTTTAAGGTTCTGGAAACTTGTAAGTGATTCTGTTGAAGCAACATGTAATTGCTTGAGACACCTATACTGGTTCATTCCCTCAATAACCAAGTCCTCCAAGCAAGGAAATTTAACCTGCAAAACATCAGCTTGCTGGTAACAATAATGCAATCTGCCAAATTAATGATTTAACATTTTTTAAGGAAAAGAATAATAAAGTTTATTACTGATTTCAAGGACATGTGGATGCAATAACAAAAAGCCACCAAAACACAACATTCAATGCAAGGTTTAGTGGAAATGTAATTGAAATTCATTAATTTCAGTTATTCAGTGAACCCAAAATTTACTAGAATTAATTAAGGACACAGACAGGTAGGTACGAACCTTGTGGTTGAAGAGAGCTTGTTGTTGGGGAATATTCCCCTTCAATATGCTTTCTTTTTCATTTCTGAAGCAGTAGAAACTACCGAAATTTGGCAACTTTGAGTCTTATTTGGTTTAATTGAGGGAATACCAGGATCTAATCACTGGCTTCTTCTTTGGATCCTCCACTGCAGTAGAAACTAATGAGGTTTGGCAAGTTTACAACTCTCACAGTCTTTAAGTGAGGAAACACGACGATCTCATCACCACCTTCTTCAATTGCAACCACTTCAATTCCAGATACAATTGAATCACTTGAATCAATTTCGACTCTTTCAAGGTTCTATAACAACAGAAGAACATTGGATGGAATGACATTTACTAGCCACTTACACTTTGATACTTTAATGAGCCTCAGTTGCCGAAAGGAACCTAACCTGCAAATTTTATTACATCACATTTCATGAATTAATGTTGGAAAAATAGCACAAATGTCAAAAAAGGTTAGAATAGATATTAAACTTACTAGAATGTAATAATTCAATTGAAATGAAAATATATGAAATCAAGGATGCTTTTAGTTTATTGTACTTCAAAAATATATGGGTTGATGCTTTAAGATTATTGCACTTAACATATTTATTAGTGTTGATGATCTGAAATCACATTTAAAAAAAGAAATACTATACTTCAAAAAACTGTCATAGTGTTGATATTTTTAGTTTATTGAAAGAACCTGTAGGTAGTAAGCTTTACCAAAACACAGGAATAGAAAATGCTTACGCAATTGAAGGATTTAAATACATAATTATAATGTTTTAAGGAAAAAAAAAATGAAATTCTTAATTTCATTAAAATTGTACAAAAAAGTGTATCAAGATAACAAAATCAGCCATCCAAATCATATTAGGGATCTACAAATTTTCAAAATAGACATGCATTTGTTTCGGATCAGGCTTAAACCGAGTACAGGGAAAACCAATTTTATTCAAGAATGTTTTTAATTAAGAAAACTTCCTATCCCGATTGTAATTGAAAAATAAAAGGAGAATTCTTTTTAAAGAGAAAACAAAGTGTTGACGCACTAAATTGGCCGCATTAGCCAATTAGAAAAATACTTTACGCGGGTGTGCCAAAACCTTCTTTCAGAGAAATAAAAAATTGCTCCAACTTGTCTCTTTTGGAAAAAATAATTAAATGGATTCTACTTGACTCAGTAAAAAGGAGTTTCTAAAGAAAATAATTGCAATGTAAATGAAATGGTTTGAAAATTGAATTTGCAATCGAAGAGTAATATATCAATGTCATAGTATTGATGATCTGAAATCGCATTTTAATAAAGAAATTTTGTACTTCAAAAACTGTCATGCTTTTAGTTTATTGGAAAAAGTGTATTAAGATAATAAATCCTGCTATCCAAATTATATTGTTTTAAGAAAAACAAATGAAATTCATAATATAATTAAAATTGTACAAAATAAGTGTATCAAGATAATAAAACCAGCCATCCAAATTATATTACGAGGAGGTAATTTTGCATATTTTTTCTATTTTTAATAATTTTGAGAGTTAAATTTTAAATTATAGATTTCTTAAAAGTTTTCTCTATTATAAACATTAAAATATTTTTTCACTTATCAACAATATATTAGTATTAGATTGCTTTGCAAGATGACTTTTTGATAAGTGGGTAATGTGGCACTTTGCCTGCACCGGAGAGAATTTATGTGGTGCATGTATTTGTGAAGAGTCAAAAAAAAAAAAAAAAAAAAAATTTATTGAAGATAGTTAATGTAATGAACAAAAATGGTGCCCATTGAACTTTGTTCTCTATTCTCAAGTCAAATACGTGGGAAAGTGAAGTTACCAAAAATAAATAAAAATAAATTGAGATGTGTTATGGTTCTGGAATATTCAATACCAATCAATCCCAAGTTGTCCAACCAAATTCAATTCTCATGATTAAAAAAAAAAAAAAAAGGTTAGATTCTAACCAAACTTACGTTTTTCACTTTGAAAGGTGAAAGTAAATTAACAAGTGTGGAATGTGGATAGATAATGCGAGCATACCTTATCATTAAACAGTTGTGCAAGGCCGGATCTATAAAATTCAGCTAACGTCTTGCCATTGACGCTTGTCAGTGATGGTAGATCCCTCATCTCCATTTTCTTTAATTTATGAAAAGTAATTGTATCCATGATTTCATTGTCATCTCCAACTATTTCTTCCAAGATGTCAATATACTTGATTCTTGGAGTTGCAGAAGGCCTCTTGCTGTGGCTGTCGACAAGAGATACCTCAATGGACCTATTACTTGCAAAATACTTAATTTGCTAAAAGAATGTGATCCGATGGTCTGTGAATTCCAATTTGGTCTGCCAAATAAATGTTCTATCCCCTTACAATGTTAACTCCAAGATACTTCAAGTCTAGAAACCCCTCACCATCTCTGTCCTGACTCACATTCTTTAAAATTTCCAGTTCTTCTAAGCATAGCACTTCAGCTTTCTCCATCAAAATTTGAATCTCCCTCTTCAAAGGAATTCCCTTTAGTTTCAATATCTTTGTTGCAGTTGCCGAAATTTTTCTAGATGAAGTGCGGTCAAAAGCAATAAAGTGTAATCCCTGGCCAATGGATATTTGAAATCTGATTAATGATTTAGACAGGAGGTCATTGATGGGTAATAACTTGTCATTTGGCACATCAACTTGTAAACTGATTAAGTGAGTCAATGAGTTTAGTTCAACCAGGCTTGCATTGCCTTCAATCTCCCATTGTCTAAAGCTTGTAACGTGAAATTCCTCGAGCTGGGATAGACTTGATATGACACTTGGAAGGATTTGGAGCTTTACAAAGCTTATCACATTCAACGAGCCTTTCCTATATCCAGAGTCATTCCTATATCCACGTTTAAAAAATTTAGAATGCTTAGTATCTCAAGTTTTTGTAACTCCTTGAGAAAAGCCATGGTCACCAATTTGCAGTTGTACAGCCGTAACATCCAAAGATTTTGAAGTGACGATATTGGTACTGTCGAGATGCACATGCCACGCAAATGTAAAACTTCAAGCTTCTTCATCCCTTCAAGAAAGCTACTCGGAACTTCTGATAAACCACCGACGCATTCCAGCATTAACGTGCGCAGTTCCGGACATTCTGAATCAACGGGAAGCACAAAATCCTTGTTGAACCTTAATGAGATTCCTCTACATCTTTTACCTTCATCCTCCTCGGGCCACTTTTCCACACCTACTTTCACTAGATACATGACTTCTTCTTTTGATGAAATTGATATAGTCACATCTCGAATGACATCATGCATTTTCACGAAGCTTTCGTTTCTACCTTCTAATAGCAGAGAATATTTCTTGAGGGTATCGACGATTACATGAGCTCTATCCCTAGTTGTTTTCATTGTATCCACGCCTTCGAGAAGCCTCAATCCAAATCCATAGCTCACCAAGTCATTAATAGAAATCTCAGCAACTTCTCCGAACAAACAACAAAGCAAAAAAATTGACTTCGCATCAATTAGTTCCAGATACTTGTAGCTTAACTCTATGCGTGAATAGAGTTTTGCTTGCATTCCTTCAATGTTCTTTGCCATGGACTTTCTCAATTGTTCAAGTGCATCTTCCCATATATGCTTCCTCTTATCCTTTAATGCTCCTCCAACTACAAGTATTGCCAAGGGCAAACATGCACATTCTTTACACACCGCTTCCGCTACAAGACGCATTTCATGAGATTTGATAGAATCTCCCACCTTCTTCTCGAATAGGGACCATGCTTCATCTTCCGATAAGAGTCCAATTTAAAAGTTTTCATTTTCAAGAATCCCCATATTTTTACACACATCTTGACGCCGAGAGGTGAATAAAATTTTGCAACCCTTGGCATGATCATTGGTAGCTGGAAATCCTATGTCCTCCAACTTAATTTTATCATTCCAAATATCATCGACCATTACAAGGATCTTCTTACCACCTTTTAATCTATTGAGTAGCAGATCCTTCCTCGCTTCTTCAGATTCTTTATCTAATGTCAAATTCAAACCTTCTGCAAGTTTCTGTTAAATTTCTTTCAGATTTGGATTCTGGGTGAAAACTATCGCAGCAATCTCATCAAAAAGCTGATCTTTTTCATCTTGTTGGGTAACTTCCTTCATCATCCTTGTTTTTCCAACACCTGGGATTCCATGTATCCCATTCTTGTAATTCCGATCATCTTTAAGTGCCTTCATGATGTTCTCAAAAACCAACTCCCTAGATTGAAAATTCTCATAGTTTACGCCGTATGTTTTGTGCCAAATACAAGTGAAAGGAGGTCGGTGTCCAACGGAGCCAAAATTTCTAGCCTCTATAAGCTTGGTAACACGACGCTGCTTATATTTTGCTTTCTTACCTAACCCGTACAGCGAGCATACATCAATACACTTGAGATTTTCGGTGCCTTGCTGTAATCTGTTGTTGACTTCTTCCATGGTCGCCAATTTGGTGTGCACTTGGGTCAGCCACCTCAAAACATTATCCTCAATGACTTCAGCATTGTTCAATGCTGCATTCACCCTTGTTTGGACACTTGTCATTGCGTCTCTGAGTTTATTTACTTCATCTTCAAAATCTTTAATGTTTTCCTTGTAGTGGAACAAATAACCAAATTGACGCCTGATGATTTTGTAAAAGTTGTCTCTGATGGGCTCCAATATCGTTCCCACAATATGACTATGTGACGGCCCAAGATTTTTCAACCCGGTGCGTCAGTGATAAACCGAAAGATGACCCAATAACGGATCCGAATTACGGAAGCAAAAGATGAAACGACATCCCTAGGGACACAACATGTCTCTAGGACACCAAAGAGACCCTCAATGAGATCACGGAACCCAAAGAAAACAAATACGGAAACAAGATTTCAAAAATGGACAAAGAGGAACCCAAGGGTAAAATGGTCATTTCCATCATAAAAGTGAGTACTACCCAGCACGCCGTTGGAAATACAATGAAAAATTAATGAATTTAGACTCAAGAATCACTTGATTCGGAGTCCAGACGACAAAGATATCAAGTCTTGAAGTCGAAGGAAGAAAAACCCTATCCCAGTTCGAGCCAAAAACTGACCCCCCTCCACTAAAATTTGAATATCTTGAGCTACCAAAGGAATATGAAACTCTAATTGGTACCATTGGAAATCTTATTTCGATGCGGTCAGTTTAGACTCAAGAACGGACCAATTCAGAGTTAAAACGAGGTAGATATGACAATTTGAAGTTGGAGGTGTAGTGCTGAACGAAGACACACAAACACACACCTATGAACAGTTCTTCGAGCGCTTGACCAAGGGCTTCGAGCTCTCGAACAGCACACGCCCAAGGACCAAAACTCTCTGCCCCAACTTAGAGCGCTCGAACCCTCTTTAGAGCGCTCGAACTACTGTAGGCTGCACCTGAAATGCAACCTTGAAATGCAATTTTGAGGACTTTCTGGGCCTTTTTTGGAAAAAAGTTGTGAAGTAACCCCCCTTAAAATCATGTTTTCTAGTCGACCATGTCAAGACCAACATTTATTTTTTAAGTGAAATACCAAAAATGCCCTTGAGGTCTGATTTAGCAAAATATGTAAATGAATGCTACTCTAAGTGTTCATTTCATTAAGAATGGTGTTGTGTGCCAAAGTGAGCATGCACACATATGTAAAATGAGTAAATACACGTATTCCAATAGCCCATGGTCACATAACATGTCATATACAAAATACGACCTATCAAACCTCGAATTCTCATAATTTCATAAGACAACTATGGGATTAAACTAGCATACATGTGATATAAATGTACATGGCACTTAGCCTCATGTTATGCATACAAAATAGACATCTTCAAGTGTTCTTAGATATACATTACACATCAAGGAAGCCATCTTAGCTTCTACAATACCATACATCCATGGTATACAAAATTTAACATCCAAAAGGAAGGCATGCTAAATAAGTGTATGTCAATATACAAAAATGCTTCAAATAGCTCAAAATCTTCTAGGGATTATGAGCATCCAAGAACATGATCTTTTTACCTGAAAAACAACCCAAACCACTAGGGTGAGTAATCAAGTTACTCGTAGAAGAAGCATATGCGTATACCCTAAAGTTTCAATATCATTGCAAGATCAATATAGACGAATACAAGGGAGCATTCCACTTAACATCTATGTTCAAGGTATTCTAAGGGATCATCTTAAGCTAACTTAAATGTTTCTTAGCAACACAATATCAAAATGGATGTACTTAACAACATCAAATCGCATATAACAAAATTTACAAGTTACAAATAACATTGATTGTTAACTTGGAAATGAATGCGAAATCAAAAAGTGGAATCCTTAGACACCTAAGCTCGGAATTCTGCCAAGACCTCAACGGTTATTTCGGGCATTAACCCGCAGGGAAGACCACCCTAAGTGCGCACTATCTCAATTGGGGAGAACTCATACCTCTCGCACTAGAGCCAAACTCTAGCCATGTTACTAGTAACCATGTCCCAAGAGAATCCAAAATATATTTCAAGTTCAAAAATTATATATATAAATAATAAGGCATATCAACCACCTTACAAGCACAAGAACTTCGAAACCACATAACCATGTCTTAGGGTTCCAAGTCTAGAATGGCATGATAGATGACAAGTTCTTAACATGATATAATGCACAAAACAATATCATTAACTTATCAATTTAAGCATGCCTCAACAATAAGCCATATATACTAAATGTTTGCATTTTAGCAAATAGCTTCTAAAACAATCATCATTATCAATAGTAATCTACTAGAATGTAGGATTACCATCACAATAGCATAGTAACTCAAATCATTAAGAATTCTTTACAACTTTAACAATCCTACTCAAGATATATACATAACATACATGCTTGATCAATGAAATCCTAAGTCAATCATAAGGATTTCCTATAGTATGCAATACTACAATTCTAAAAGCATTTATACAATATATATTAAACCCCAAAGGATTTCAAAACACATAGAAAATAAACATACTACCACCCCTACCTCAATAGAGAATTGTATCTCTATAATCCAAGCTACCAAGCACAAAATGGAAAACAAGTTTAGGGTTCTTGAAGAGGAGAATGAGAAGAAACTTTTCTCTCCCAAGGTTTTTAGTCTAAGGTGTATGGAAGTGAGCCAAATTGAAGGGGTAAGCTATGAACTAAGCTTTCCTCCAATGGTAGATTTGTTAGGGTTCATGTAAGATAATGAAATGAAGAAAGTAAAGTGTTAAAATGGTGAGTGGAAGGGCTAGAGATCCTCCATTCACTATGTGCTCTTGCACTACCTCTCACACACATATAATGCAAGACTAAATCATGGCCTTACACTTGTCACTAATCCAATGCCTCTTCCAAGACTTAATCCTAAGCTTACACTTGTCAACAATCAATAGGTACGTGTGCACCAATCTAAGGCCAACACATGGATGAATCTCCACCCACCAAATGTCAAGAGGTCATGGTGCCGAGTCTCTTCACCTAAATGCCAACAAATGGCTCCATGAGAGTGTGACACTTGTCACACTTTCCAAAAATTACAAAATGGTCCTTTTTCAAAATATCTTCTAAAATAAATTACAAAAAGGTCCCTCAAACGAAAAATAATAATTTTGCTTAATTACACTAAAATTCCAAAAGTTATAAATAATTATACTAAAGTAAGCATTCATGCCCTTTATGAAAAATAAAAGCAACTAGCATGCTTTTCAATAAAAGTGAAAATATCAATGTCATGGAAATCAAGTATCATGAATGCATGCAAAACCGGAATCAAATCCGAACACCCGAAGAGGTTAAGCAAGGAAAAACGATAAATGAGTAAAAGACGCAATAAGAAAAAAAAAATGAAAAAAAAGAAAATCACCGAAAATGGAAAAGGATGAAAAAGACCGGGTCATTACAACCTACCCTCCTTAAATGAATTTCGTCCCCAAAATCGAGCCGTACCTGAAAGAGAGAACAAATGAGGATACCGAGAGCGAACCTCCTGCTCGAGCTCCCAGGTAGCCTCCTCAACACCATGATGTCTCCACAAAACTTGAACCAATGGGATGGTCTTGGTCCGCAAAACCTGCTCCCGTGAATCAAGAATCTGGACTAGACCCTCCTCGTAGGTCACATCCTCATCAACAAAAACATCTGTCCACCATAAAACATGCGATGGATCTGGCTCATACTTCTTCAACATAGATACATGAAAGACGTCATGAACTCTATCTAAGTCTGGCGGCAATGCCAAATGATAAGCAACTTCACCAACGAGCTCCAAAATCTGAAATGGTCCTATGAACCTAGGAGACAACTTGTCCGTCTGTCGAAATCTCAGAAGTCCCTTCCGTGGAGAAATCTTGAGAAAGACGTGGTCCCGTACCTCAAAAGACCAGGATCTCCTCCTCTTATCAGCATAACTCTTCTGCCTGCTCTGAGCTGTAGCCAACCGCTGCCGAATCAACTTGATCTTCTCTGTAGTCTCAATAACAATGTCGGGACCCAAGGCGACTATATCACCTACCTCGGTCCAACAAATTGGAGATCTGCAAGGTCTACCATACAACACCTCAAAAGGTGTCATACCAATACTAGTCTGGTAACTGTTGTTGTAGGCAAACTTAACCAAGGTTAAGTAGTCTTCCCAACTACCCCCAAAATCCAAAATGCAAGCCCGTAGCATATCCTCT